ACCAAGTTTCAGAGTCCCCTCTGATATCCTTTTAATGTTTTCCTTCTTTTTTGTCTCCTTAATGATCTTTTGCTTTCTTATTATATAATGTCCTTCATGTCATCCCACAATTCTTCTGGTCTTTGGTCTTTAGTGTCTTACGCATCAAATTTGTTCTTCAGAGGATCTCTAAATTCAGGCAGAACACATTCAAGGTTATATTTTGGTTCTGGTGGGCTTGTTTTAATTTTCTTCAGCTTCACCTGAACTTGCATATGAGCAATTGATGGTCTGTTCCACAGTCTGCCCCTGGCTTTGTTTGGGTTAATTATATGGAGCTTTCCCAATATGTCTTTTCACAGTTGTAGTCAATTTGATTTCTGTGTATTCCATCTTGCCAGGTTCATGTGTGTAGTCATCTTTTACATAGTTTAAAAAAAGATATTTGCAATGATGAACTGATTGGTCTTGCAAAATCCTATCATGTGATCTCCAGCATCATCTCTGTCAACAAGGCCATATTTTCTAACTCCTGACTCTTTCTCTTTGTTTCCAACCTTTGCATTCCAGTCACCAATAATTATTAATACATCTTGATGGCATGTTTGACCAACTTTGGACTGAAGAATTTAATACAATTCTTTAATTTCATTATCACTGACTTTTGTGATTGGTGCATAAATTTGATTAATATTTGTATTAACTGGTCTTCCTTACAGTCATATGGATATTATCCTATCACAAATAGTGTTATGCTTGAATTCAAATTTTGATGTGTTATTTTTGATGATGAATGCAACATCATTCCACCTCATGTTATTATTCCTGGCATAGTAAATAAACCATGTGATTGTCAGATTGAAAATGGCCACTACCGGTCAATTTCAGCTCACTAATACCTAGGATATTGATGTTCATGCATTCTATGTCATTTTTGACAATTTCCAATTTTCCTAAATTCAAACTTTGTTCATTATATGTTCTGGTTATGAATGGATGCTTATAGCTGCTTATCTTCATATTGAGTTGTGCAATGTATGTCCCAAAGGATTTACTCCATTTGCATCATCATGGTCAACTCTACTTTGAAGAGGCAACTCTTCTCTAGTCATTCTTTGAGTACCTTCCAACCTAGGGTTCATCTTCTGGCACTATCTCTGACAGTATTCTGGTACTCTTCATCACATTTCAATAGTCTGACAGTGTTCCACTGCTACTCTGAAGGTTTTCAGTGAGTAAATATTCAGAAGTAGTCAATCTTTCCTTCTTTCTAGTCTGTCTTTCTCTGGAAACTCATCTGAAACCTGTCCACCATGATTGACCCTGCTCATATTGAAACACCGGTGGCATAGATTCCAGAATCACAACAAGATGCAAGCCATCACAGCATGATAAACTGACAGGTGAGTGGTGGACCACCATCTATAGGTTTGGCAAATTACATTTCTACATACATTTATTTGTATGAACAGTAACATATCCATGCATATAAATAGTGCAAACAGGGGTCCAAAGAAAATAATCATCTTATTTGTAACCAGACATCTTTAGGAGTGAATTATTGGGTCTGGAGGCTTAGGACCATAGTTACACAAGTCACCATTGTCAATAGACATAATATAGTTCATAAAAACAGTGTTATACATCCTACTTCAGTGAGTAGTGACTGGGATCTTAAAAGCATGTGAATTGCTATCTGTGGTGCAATTATTAGTCTCTACCAACCACCAATAAGTGCCTATCAGTTTGCTGTACTGTCTGGGTTTTGTGCTGCTGTGATTCTGTAAGCTATGCCACCAGTATTTTAAATATCATCAGAGTCATCCATGGTAGACAAATTTCAGTTGAGCTTTCAAACTAAGATGGACTAGGAAAAAGGAGAGGCAGATTAATTCAGAATCTGTCACTGAAAATCTTATGGATAGTAATGGGACACTGCCAGATAGCACCAGAATATTGCATATTGAAACATGATAAAGAGTGCAAGAATGTTGTCAGATATAGTACCAGAAGATGAGCCTTTCAGGTTGACTGAGAAACAGCTGCCTCCTCAATGTAGAGTAGACCATGATAACCAGAATGGAGTGAAGAATTCAGTAACTGCATTTGAGATGGGGCACAACTAAAAATAAAGAGAAACAGCTGTAACATTTATTAATAATCAGAACATTAAATGTACAAATTATGAATCTAGGATATTTGGAAGTTGTCACAAATGAAATGGAATGCATAAACATTGATAGCTGAGGCATTAGTGGGCTGAAATGGACTGGTATTGGCCATTTTGAATCTGACAACCACATGGTTTACTATGCCAGAAGCAACAATGTGAAGGGAAATGGCATACATGCACCATTAAAAAGAACATTTCAAGATCTATCTTGAACTACAATGAGGTATGTGATAGGATAATATCCATACACTTAAAAGAGCAATTAATACAAATATAATTCAAATGTATACAACACCACAAAAGTGATGGTGAAATTGAAAAATTCTACCAACCTCCTAAGTCTGAAACTGATTAAACATGTAGTCAAGATGTATTGATAAATACTGGTGATTGGACTTGTTTTAATTTTCTTCAGCTTCAGTAATTGATAATTACTGGTGATTGGAATGCAAAGGTTGGAAACAAAGAGAAAAGATCAGTTAATGGAAACTATGATCCTGGTGATACAAATGATGCTGGTGATTGCCTGATAGGATTTTATAAGATCAATCATTTCATTGTTGCAAGTAGCTTTTTTAAACAACATAAAAGAAGACTATGTACATACGCTGCACCTAATGGAATACACAGAAGTCAAATTGACTACATCTGTGGAAAGAGACAGTGGAAAAGCTCCACACCATCTGCCAAAACAAGTACAGGAGCAGACTGATGTAAACAGGCCATCAGTTTCTCATATGCAAGTTCAGGCTAAAGCTGAAGAAAATTAGAACAAGTCAACAAGATACTAAATATGACCTTGAAAATATCCAAACTGAAGTTAGAGATCATCTATAGAACAAATTTGATGCATTAGATTCTAAAGACAGAAGACCAGACGTGTTGTGAGATGACATCAAGATCATAAGAAGAAAAGAAAGAGACAAAAATGAACGTCAGAAAAGACTATTAAATTTGCTCTTCTGCATAAAGATGCTAAAGCAAATGTTAAAAGTGGGGAGGTTAAAGAGCTGAATAGAAAATTCAAAGGGAAACTAGAAACAAATTTAAATATTATAATGAAATGTGTAAAGCCTGGAGTTAGAAAACCAAAAGGGAAGAACATGCTCAGCATTTCTCAAGCTGATGGTACTGAAATAAAAATGCAAGCTTCAACTTTCAATATTGAAGGATTCTATGGGCAATATTGAATGATGCAGAAAGAATAAAAAGATCAAAGGGATACACAACATCATTGTACCAAAAAGAAATGATTGGTGCTCAACCATTACAAGATGTATCATATAATCAAGAGACAATGATACTGAAGGAAGAAGTTCAAGGCACACTAAAGACATTGGCAAAGAATAAGGCTCCAGGACTTGATGGAATGACAATTGAAATCTTTCAACAAACTAAAATCAGACGTATTATCAGTCTCTGGAGAAACACATCATGTTTGTTAAAGTGGAGAGTCAACGAAAAAGAAGAACCCCCCCCTACCCCCACCAATAAGCTGCATTAGCACAGTGGCAGCAGCCATGGGCTTAAGTATAGCTACAATTGTGAGATTGTGCAGGACCGGAGTGTGTTTTGTTCTGTTGTTCATAAAGTCACTGTGAGTCAGTATCGACTCCACAACACCAAATAATAATAACAACAACATATCCATTAAGATCAAAGAACAGTGAAAAAAAAATCAGAGATGTATGGAAGCAATTTGTCTAAAGGACTAATGAACCACAGGAACATCAACCTCCATGATCCTGATACTGGAATAATTGGATGGTACCTATCTACCATTGCTGACTGCTCTTAAAGGGATCACAAAAGAAAGTCCTGCATAGAGTGGGAGAAATATGTGAAATAAAGCCTAAAATCACAAAAAACACTAGACTTATGGATCTGAAAATGACTGGTGATACCGCTGAAACTATGGTCCTTAGTTATTCTTCAGGCCTGGAACTGACCATACCTCATGGCCATCTTTCAGCCAAACAATAGACCTATAAGGTGAACAATAAATTATACCAGTAAGGTATGCATTAATTAGAAGAATGAACCATATGGAATCAAAATGGAACCATTAACCTAGTGAAAAACTCAGAAGGTCCAAATGAGTAGGAATCAAGGATTGTTGTTGTTGTTAAGTGCCATCGAGTCGGGTCCGACCCATAGCGACCCTGTACAGGCTTTCCGAGGGTGTAAATCCTTACGGGAGTAGAAAGCCTCATCTTTCTCCCGCGGAGCGACTGGTAGTTTCGAACCGCTGACCTTAATGTTCGCAGCCCGATTCGTAACCACTACGCTACCAGAGCTCCTTTAGGAATCAAGGATAAGGGGACATAAATACAAGCAGGAAGTGAGAAGAGTTCTGTTACATTGTGGGAACTGTAACCAGTATTACAAAGCAAAATGTTTATTAATTGTTAAATGGAAGACAATTTACTCTGTAAATTTCTAATCAAGTCACAGTAAAGAGTTTAAAAATAAAAATGCAAAGGAAATTGAGGCAGGAAGAAAAGTAGCTGAAGTTTTGTGAGTTTACGGGGATGAATGAGCTAAGTCCTAGAAACAAATGGTGGTCAAAACATGTTGGAGTATAGTGTGTATGTGAGACTGTGTGTGTTTCTTGTTGACCTTTGTCTTCAGTATTCTCTATTCACGCATTTTCCATGAGGGTGGTGACAAATTCAGATTATTATAGCTATTTAGATTATACAGCTGATAATCTAAATAGCTGTAATAAACTATTTAGCTTTCCTCTTCTCAGGAATGGAAACTTAAGGTTTTGTGAATCAGCTGGTCCCTAGAGGGTGGTACCAGTCATTCAGTAAGAGGAGTGTTGTAACTCTGTTTGCTTTTCTAGATCTTCTCGAGACATACCTGAGGACTCATTCCACCTGTCCCGTGACTGGCATTGGCCATTGGACTGTGGAAGAAAACACTGCTGGTCACAGGTAAAGGAGGATATGGGGCCTTGACTATAGGTGGAAGTGGTGAAAAAATCAGTGTATGTGCTTGGAGTTATTTAAGAAGAATGATCTGACTGCTAAGACCTAAGCCAAACTTCAAAGTAAAGTTTGGGAAGGGTGGTAGTTTTAATATCAGGATAAAATAATTTATTTTCAAATATAGTAACTCTAAGACTCATTTGTGATTGATGTTCAAACAACCCATTTATTTTGGATTCACATTTTTTAAAAGCATGCTAAACTTCCTGGTATCAAGCTTGATTTTGAAGAAACTCCCATGATATATAAATGTACATTTGCAGGAGCTGTTTTTGTTGTTGTTAGGTGTCATCAAATCAGTACCTACTCATAGCAACCCTATGCACATCAGAAAGAAACACTGCCCGGTCCTGGGACAACCTCACAATTGTTGCCATGCTTGAGCCCATTGAAGCTGCCACTGTGCCAATCCATCTCACTGGGGGTCTTCCTCTTTTTCTCTGATCCTCCACCTAACCAAACGTGATATCTTTCTCCAGTGACTGGTACCTCCTGACAATATGTCCGAAGTATGAGAGACAAAGTTTGGCCATCCTGGCCAATTTAACTGTCTTCACCTCATGGTATTGATATATAACAGAACTAAATGCTTGTAATGCACTTTTATATGGCTCAACTCAATTAAGATTCTCTGAACAATTAAGACTGATTCTGCAATTTACCACAAAAAACAGAAACCAAAGAAAAAGTTTTGTCACTGAAGTTAATTCTAAAATTTAATTGTCAGGATAATGGAGTTTTCACTTAACTTTTAATGTAATATTGCTAGGTCTGTCAGTTTGTTGTACAACTAGACTAGAAGAAAATAAAGATATTTGATAAAGGAAACAAGTATAAATTGCTATAATTTGATAAACTTGACCTATACTAATGGAAGTGGTAGCTCAAAATATCAACCAAGAGGGAAGGAGTCTCCACATCAAGGATCCAAAAGACAAAGCCAAATATTACAAGTAAATGTGCAATGATCTGGATTCAAAAACTGAAAAGGAAGAACAGGCTCAGCATTTCTCAAGCTGAAGGAACTGAAGGAAAAGTTTAAGCCTTGACTTTCGTTATTGAAGGATTCACTGAGAAAATTATTGAATGATGCAGAAAGCATCAAAAAAGATGGAAGGAATACACAGTCACTGTACCAAAATGAAATGGTTGATGTTGAACCATTTCAAGAGGTAGCATATGATCAAGAGCCAATGATATGGAAGGAAGAAGTCCAAGGTGCATTCAAGTAATTGGTAAAGAACAAGGCACCAGGAATTGATGGAATCAAAATGGAAATCTTTCAAGTAAGTGGGGCAGCACTGGAGGCACTCATTCATCTATGCCAAGAAATTTGGAAGACAACTATCTATCCTACTGATTGAAAAAGATCCATATTTGTGCCCATTCCAAAGAGCGGTGACCCAACAGAATGCAGAAATCATTGAACAATATCTTTGATATCCCATACAAGTAAAGTTTTAGTAAAGTAATACAGAATAGGCTACAAGCATACATTGACAGAGAACTTCCAGAGGTTCAAACTGGATTCAGAAGAGGCTGTGGAACAAAGGATATCATTGCTGATGTCCGATGGATCTTAGCTGAAAACAGAGAACACCAGAAAGATGTTTCCATGTGCATTATTGACTATGCAAAGACTTTCGATTGTGTGGATCATGACAAGCTATGGACAACATTGCAAAGTATGAGTATTCCAGCACACTTAATTGTGCTCATGAGGAATATGTACATGGACGAAGAGGCAGTTGTTCGAACAAAACATGGCAACACTGAATGGTTTTAAAATAAGAAAGGTGTACGGCATTTTTGTAATCTTTCACCATATTTATTCAACCTGTGTGCTGAGCAAATAATCTGTGAATCTGGGTTAAATGAAGAAAAACGTGGCATCAGGATTGGAGGAAGACTCATTAGCAACCTGCGATATGCAGATGATAAAACCTTGCTTGCTGAAAGTGAAGAGGACTTAAAATACTTACTGATGAAGATCAATGACTATAGCCTTTGGTACATCTTGCATCTCAATGTAAAGAAAACAAAAATCCTGGAACAACAAACAACATCCTTATCAATGTAGATAAGATTGAATTTGTCAAGGACTCCATTTTTCTCGGATCAACCATCAGCACTCATGGAAGCAACAGTCAAGAAATCAAATGATGTATTGCATTAGGCAAATCTGCTGCACAAGACATTTTTAAAGTGTTGAAGAGCAAAGATGTCAGCTTGAGGACTAAGGTGTGTCTAATGTAAACCATGGTATTTTCAATAATCTCATATGCATGAGAAAGCTGGACAGTGAATAAGGAAGACCGTAGAAGAATTGATGCTTTTGAGTTATGGTGCTGGAGGAGAATATTGAAAGTATCATGGGCTGCCGAAAGAACAAATAGAGCTGCGTTGCACGAAATACAGCCAGAGTGTTCCTTGGAAGCCAAGATGGCTAGACTTTACCTCTCATACTTCGGATGGGTCAGGAGGGACCAGTCACTGGAGAAGAATATCATGTTGATAAAATGGAGGATTAGAGAAAAAGAGGAAGACCCTCAGAAAATGGATTGACAAAGTGACAGCATCAATGGGCTCAAGCGTGGCAACATTTGTGAGGTTGGCCTAGGATCAGGAAGTGTTTTGCTCTGCTCTGCATAGTATTGCTGAGTCGGTACCAACTTGATGACACTTACTAACATCAGCAACATCAGCAAATTAGACACTTTGTTTTAGCTTAATATTTACAATCGCTTCTCTGCAATGACTGTTATCTTACTTCCTCCCTGTGGATTCCCTTTTACAGCTTATATTTCACAAATGGACAAATCAAAACTATTTGATATACATATACAAAAGAAAACATATGTTTCCTATATGTACATCACAGGCACACAGCTTTACTAAGTCCAGAACCTATATCCCGCAACTGTTCTCTCTCTCCATGACATCACCTCTGCCACCAACTCAGCTGTCATCACCTTTTAGATAGAACTTTATTGTCCACTCATGCTTTTCCTTCTTGATGATCTTGGGATTGTTTGTTCCTGACTGAAAGATTAACTACTCCCATCTTTTATTTTCACATCTTCTACAATTACAATTGTGAAAATAAAAATTAATCCTGCTAACAATTACTTACAATTGAATCATAAAATTCTATCAGTATCATCCCTCTTCCCTTTTCACTAGATCCATCTGGAGAAAAGGACAACTATTCAGTGGGGTTTCAATCTTACCCACCTCATTCTGAAATTAAGCACACTCATGAAATCTTGTAAGCCAGCCACTTTGTGCCTTTGTTTATTGTTGCTATTGTCGTTAGATGCCTTTGAGTCAGTATTGACTCATAGTGACCCTATGCACTACAGAATGAAACATTTCCCAGTTCTGGGACAACCTCACTATTGTTGCCACACTTGAGCCCATTGATGCTGTCACTTTGCCAGTCCATCTCACTGTGGGTCTTTCTCTTTTTCTCTGACCCTCCACCTTACCAAACATGATATCCTTCTTCAGCGCCTGGTCCCTCCTGACATTATGTTCAAAGCATGATAGATGAAGTTTGACCATCCTGACCTCCAAGGAGCACTCTGGCTGCATTTCTTCCAGCACAATTCTGTCTGTTCTTTTGGCAGCCCATGGAACTTTCAATATTCTCCTCCAACACCGTAACTCAAAAGCATCAATTCTTCTATGGTCTTCCTTAGTCACTCTCCAGCTTTTGCATCCATATGAGGTTATTGAAAATACCATGGCTTGGGTTAGGCGCACCTTAGTCCTCAAGCTGATATCTTTGCTCTTCAACACTTTAAAAAAAGATCTGGTGCAGCAGACTTGCCTAATGCAACATGTCATTTGATTTCTTGGCTGCTATTTCCATGAGCACTGATAGTTGATCCAAGAAGAATGAAGTCCTTGACAACTTCAATCTTTTCTCCACTGATAAGAAATGTTGTTTATTGGTCCAGTGGTGACAATTTTTGTTTTCTTTGCATTGCTTTCATAGCCCCCCATTTTTTATAGCCAATGTCTAGATTGCCTTTCCTTATCAACCCAGTTCACTGAGGAAACAGGCTTGTTTCCTGTTATGAAGAATCTTTCCATTATGGTTGAAATTGTGAACAAATGAATCCATAAGCAAAGGTCCAATTCATCAAATTGTAGCAATTATACTTGCTCACAGTATCAAGCATTTTATCTTATTCTTGGTGAATTCTGGTCAACTAACCATCCAAGTCAGCTCAAATGAATACTAGCTGCAAGCTTGGGAGTTCACACATGCCTCCCTGCACTTCAGACCAGCTGGTGGCATCACTCTCAGCTCTAACAGTCAAACTTTTTTTTTTTTGGCTGATCATATTTTAGTAAGATTCATCTATTCTCCCAGTAGTTCTGGGTTGATCCACGTGTTTTTTCAAGGACAATATGTATACTCGTTAAGTTCTAGGTGGGGCTCAGGATTCCATGTAAGGTCCCATACCTTATGTGGCTACAAGAGGCTTAAAAGAAGCTTATTTCTGTGGACAAATTTTAATTCCCATTTTAGCAAATACAATCAGTTATACACTGAAGACAGACTTACAAACTTTCTGTCATCATAATTCCCATTCATTTCTATTACACTTAAATGTCTCTTTTATAATAGAAGGCAGAAGAAACCAATATTCATAATATAGTCAAACACCTAAATATTTAATTCCCCTCCTTTACCCATTCAGACAATGTCTGGATCCCTGTATCAAAGAAAACTGATGTTCCAAGGTTGTGTATAAATCATTATTTACTTCTATCTCATTTCGGCTATGCATACCTCCCTAAATTTTCCCTTATTTTTATAGTTCATCTACCAGTCTCCTTCTTCTGGTCTATTGCCCTCCCCATCAATCTAGGTAACATGTGACTTTCTCTCCATTCCCTACCACCCCTAGTAACAATAAAAGTATGGTTCTTTT